TAAGTTTCATCTGGTATACCAAACTCATGCATTGATTGGTATAGCACTGTTCTCTTGACACTGTCATATGCTTGCCTTGAAGTCGACGAATAGGTGGATGGGTTTCAATATTGAATTCTAATGTTTTCTCGAGAATCTGTCTTATTGAATGAATCTGGTCAATTGATTTTTCTGGAGTGGAATCCAACTTGATATTTAACACTATGCCCACTGTGTAAACTTGCAACCTTTCGTAAGAATATTTGCTAGTATTTTGTAAGCAGTTGTTAACAGGGTTATACCTCTATAGTTGTCACACTGGAGCTGGTCACCTTTTTTATGTAACGGGGCATTATCACGCCTTGAGACCATTCACAAGGCATGGTCTCATTATGCCAAACAAGAAGTAAAAGCTATATTTTTTTTTCGTAAAAAAATGAGGCATTGGCCTTATTTTCATCATAACTCACTCAATTTTTGAACTAGAGTCTTTTGTTTATGATAGATCTATTTATGCTCTTTAAAAAAGATTGCGTGAGTTTTCTTCCAAAAATGCATCATTTTCCCGATATTTGACTTTGAATCTTTCAAATTTGGCATTTGAAGAAAACCGCTGTGAACATTGATCAGGCCGTATTTCGGTTCCTATTATATCGCAAAAAAACATTTTAAAAAATGAATTGTATTTGTCTTTTTTAAAAAGCTACAAATTGGTTCTCTGCAATTTTTTGATAAAATTGCACCATTTTGGAGTTATTCGCGAAAAATCGATTAAGAACGTCGATTTTTTCGTTTAAAAGCTGTTACTTTCAATCGCGAATAACTTTCAGTTTTACAATATCAGTTTTACAAAAAAAGAATGTATAGAACATTTTTTGTTTATACAGTAGAACCCGTTTAACCGAACTAATGGGGGCAGAGATGTTTCGGATAATCAACTTTTTCGGTTAAGCCATGGTTATGGAGTTTGAAATATTTTCTAGCCAAATTAAACAATTTACACACGTTATTTCAATGTAAAAACCTGTATTAAATAAGTTACATGTATATACATACATGTATGTACAATACTGCAGCTGCATTTTAAAACAAAAGTGGAAACAGTATTTAGTTTAATTTAAAATAATCAAACATCGATTTTTGCGTTTTATTTGTACATCGTTTCCGAGCAGCCTTATCTTGCCATCTCTTCATAAGCAACACATCAGCGGGAGTGGCATCAGATGATTGCTCCACAAATCGAAGGGCCACCTACAGTAAAAAAATGTTAGAAAATTGGTAACACCTAAAATTAGAACATTTTAAAAAGTTTGGATGTGCTGAAAATAATCTTACCTTAAGTGCATTGAATGCGTCTTCAGCTGATACTCGGCTGAAGTCACCGTGGGTCGTCTCTGCATTAATGTCGTCTGCATCAGGCGCTGCCTGCTGCTCCGTGACCATATCCACAATTTCTTGGTCGGTAAGCTCAAGTTCAGAATCGTCTGCCTCTAACCAGTTCAAAATTTGGTCTTCTTCAATTTTTTCACAACCTGGCACTTTATTCAGTAGCTCTGAGAGATTATCGAAATCCTCGTCTTCCCATTGATCATTTGAAGTTGAAAGGCCATCGAAGAGTTTGTTCCAGGCTTTTTTTAGTGTGCTAGATTTAACCTTGTCCCACGCCTGAGCACACCAGTACACCACATCTTTCATATTCACGGTTTTCAAGCACTCTGTAAGATCCTTATTTCCGTGTTCACTTTCATGTAAGATGTGTCTCAGGAGGCATCCTCTGTAGTGGCGTTTAAAAAGTCTCGATGACGCCCTGGTCCATTGGTTGGATGAGACTGGTGACGTTTGGTGGTAGAAATTGCACTTTAATGTCACCATCTTGTAAATTCCCAGGGTGACATGGGGCATTGTCTACAAGCAATATAGCTTTGAGTGGAAGCTCTTTCTCTGACAAAAATTTTTTTACTTTTGGAACAAACTGTTTGTAGAACCAATCTCCAAACAAATCTGATGTCATCCACGCACTTTTCTGTGCTCGATAAAAAACTGGCATCGCGATAGGAGCAATGTTTTTCAGAGCTCTAGGTCTCTCAGCTTTTCCTATACACATTAGAGGAAGTCTGAATGATCCGGCCGCATTTGCTGTCGTAAGAATTGATATTCTCTGTTTTTGCATTTTGTGCCCTGGTGCGGAAGTTTCTTTAACACAAGCTAACGAAGACTTCGGTAACATTTTAAAATTCAAACCGGTTTCATCGGCATTAAATATTTGGTCGTATGTATAGCCTTCAATGATTTCCTCAAATTCTGACTTGAACACGTCTACTGCATCATGATCAGCTGACATTTTCTCACCACATAAGATCAATTGTCGAATTCCGTACCGGTTCTTAAACCTATCTAGCCATCCACTGCTTGCAACAAAGTTTTTCCCATCGTCTCCTAAAAGTTGAGCTAACATCTTGGCTTTTTCTTGAAGCACTGGTCCTGATAAAGGCACACCTTTTTCTCTTTGTTGTGTGAACCACAAAAACAAAGCTTCATTGACTTTTTCAAAGTCTGAAGTTTTCATGGTTTTGCGGTTGGGGATTTTAGTTGAATGTTCAGTAAGTTTCTCTTTATTCTTCATCCAGTCACTTACAGTAGAAACACCGACATTGTATTCCGCTGCTATACATCGTAATAAAGCACCGTTTTCAACGCGCCTAACGGCTTCCAGTTTATCGGCTATGTTAATAACGACACGTTTTCTTTTACCGGACATTGTTTTGAAAACTGCCCTAAAACCACCTTATGAGAATCTGTAAAGTTTAACAAATTCAAGGTTCACACTCAACACTAAAAACAACCTAACTGTGTTAAAATAAAACACTGTAAGATTAAATTACTAAAAGCTTAAGAACTGAGGAGAATTTATACTTCCACAAACTCACTCGTTGAATACAATAGCACAACTGAAATGACAATGACGACGTTGCGATGAGTCAAACCGGGTAGGAGGGAGGAGGAGTAACTGCGGAAACACTTGCGAGCCACGCGCGGTTGAGGATCTCTCGAAGTGTGGCCACCCACAGCGCATAGTTTCGGTTTAACAGGGGCGGCGTTAATTAATTTAGCTGCTTTTTTTTTAATTTCGCATCGTTTCGCTTTTTTTTAAATTTCGCAATCGTTTCGGTTAACCCGAGTTTCGGTTGACCGAAGTTCGGTTAAACGGGGTTCTACTGTAATCACTCTTTTAATCGAAACCTGTAGTTAAAATGTAAAAAAAAAATTTCACCCACGGGATGGGGTGGCGACCACCCCCAAGGCTTTGGCGCACTTTGGTTCGATATAGATTTTGGTCCTTAGGCTAATTACCTAACCTTCTGTTAAAATTTTAAGTTAATCCACGCAGGACGAAAAAATTACGAGGTGAAATACTTCATTTCCTGGACTATAAGTGGTTTGACAGCATAATAAAATCATAGATTTATTGTGTAGCTTTCAATTTTTATGAGTTCAGAATCCAGCAGCCCGCAAAAGTATTGGGTTTTTATAATATAATTATTTGACAACCTTTTGTTGGCCAACCTCCTACAGCAGAAATGGACCGAAATACATGATGTTTCCTATGTTCCGAATTTATTTCGTTCAATCTATATAAGATATGACCATATATATAATATATATATATATATATATATTATATATATAATATTATATATAATAATATATATATATTAGGGTCAACTCTGCGTCAACCAATCTCCTGTAGAAAGAGTGATGCACTACAACTACCTCGGCACCATAATAAATAAAGAATGGACCAACAACCAGGAGATTAGAGCACGCATCGCAAGAGCTAAATCCACCTTCAATCAGATGGGGGCCTTCTTCAAGAGTCACAACCTCTCTCTTGATACAAAAGTAAGAATGCTTCGATGCTACGTCTTCTCTGTTCTTTTATATGGTGTTGAATCGTGGACCTTGAACGAAGATATGTGCAAAAAACTGGAAGCACTTGAGATGTGGCTGTATCGGAGTATACTTAAGATCCCGTGGAATAACCGAGTCACAAATGAGAAGGTCCTTCGAAGAATGAATAAGAACCGAGAGGTACTGACCACCATTAAATCTCGATGGTTACAATTCTTCAGACATATGCGAAATAAATCCAGATATGCTCTCCTTCAAGCCATCCTGCAAGGAAAGATATTTGGAAAGCGAGGTCCAGGAAGAAGAAGAACATCTTGGTTAAAGAACCTAAGAATCTGGTTCAATAAAACATCTGTGAAGCTTTTCCGCGCTGCTGCAGATAAGATAAATATTGCCAGAATGATCGCCAACATTCGTAACGGATAGGCACATCAAGAAGAGAAGATATCATTAAAAGAATAGATTCCAAACGATTGTTAAAATACTATTACCAATAGGTGGAAGCAGATTAGATTTAGTATTAAATATTTCTTTTAACTCTGGGAATATACAAAATAATATTAGAAAATTGTTAAAATATTATTAAAATGTAAATATACACACATACCTCCGCTATCATCTGAATAAGTCAACAACGTTGCCATTTACTTTCGTAATGCCTAATCCTAAAATTATTATGACTATATTATATTTAGTATACACGAAAGATTTTTCTGGAGTTGTTGGGGAATATTTTTTTATCTTGAAGGAATGAGCATTTGTTTAGCAGACTACATACAATATGGTGTGGTGAAAATTTTGTCAGCTAGATACTATCGATGCAAAACGAAATTTTGGTACAGATTATGACAGGCTAACCTTACTGTACTACTTACTGCCTCATGGTATTTCAGGAAATTTAATTTAAACGGTCTTCCAACGGGAGCGAGTAGGAGCATTAAATTTAATTTTTCACACAAAATTGCCAATCACATCAACCTTTATATCATCAAAACAAACTACAAATGCAAAATGGCTGGTAATGTTAGCCAGTTGGGGAAATGTGTACAATTTGCGGACAGATTTTATACTTGTATAATAATTTCTTGTTTATTTTTGTGTTTTTTTTTTAGTGTAATGCAAGAGGATCCTGGGGCGAGAAGGCAAATTATGATTTGAAACATACTCGCGGAAAATCTTTTAGACATGAGAAAACGAAAAAGAAGAGGGGATCCTACCGCGGAGGCACTATCGACACTTGTATTAATTCCATTAAATTTGACTAGATGATTATCAAATGGTTTTTTATCATAATTACTGTAATTTATATAACTATAGTTATTTAATTTATTTTAAGGTATAAACTCTTCAATTGTGCGGAGGATATATATATATATATATATATAAATATATATATATATATATATATATATATATATATATAATATATATATATAGTAAACTGATTGAGAAAAGATTTGTGACCTTCTTTGCTTTAACGATTTCTTGGCCATCCTTGTGTCAATTAAATAACATGTTTTGTTGATAATACAACATTCCTTTGAGATTTGAAAATTTATATTCATTTAAAAAAATGTATATAGAATAAATATATTCAGCCTCAATATTTATCATTCTCTTAAGACCTGTCAATTGTCGGATATTTGCTCTTTGCTGTTAATTATTAAATTTATTCTCTTGTTTAAACTAAAAGCTCTTTTTAATCGTAACTCAATTTTCAACTACTTTATGTCTACACAGTCTACAATGTTATTGTGCAATCAGGAATTATAATCCCAATAGAGATTCTTTTACCCACACCTGATTTGTGATTGTGATCGCACATGTTAGCCTTGAATTAATAAAAAAATTAATTTTTTTCATACTTGCTGGCAGTTTTATAAATACAGTAAAGTGTTTTTCTTCTGACTGAGGGTTTGTATTTTTTTACAAACAAGCCCCATATAAACTTATTTTTGTGAAAAGTTTATCATAGTTGTATGTTAAAATGGTGCCTTCTCATTTCATAACTATACTTTAGGTTTTATGTAAGTGTAAAATAGTATTTCTGTGTGATCATTTGGACCTGCATTTTTACAATTATTTACAAGTGCTGTATCTTGTGGTACTTTCTGTGATTCACAAACATTGTACCGGATCTAAACAGAAAATGCGTCTAGAATTGTTCAATATTGGATATTTTTATTAAACAATAAATATTTTAAAACAATCTTATAAGTTTTTACACATGTTTATTTAACTACCATACTAATTTAGCAGTAATGCAGTAATTTAGCATCACCAAGAAATCAGCTATCATTTTCTATTTATAAGTCGTGTATGTTCGTTTAGTGCACTTTTGTAGGCTTGGTACCGTTCTCGGTTTTTCATTATATCTATTTTTTTATATATTAAATTTTTGACATCAACATACATTTTAACATCAGGAGGTAAAATTACTGTATTTGGTACCATTTTAGAGCCAATAGTTGTTGCCGGTGTTAATACATATAAATAAAATAAAAAATATCGATCGGCTTGGGTCAAGTTCAAACAACTACATTGAACTTATCTTCGTTCAGCTGTTATATGTATTCAACCTAGAGAGCGTTCCACGTTAAGAAAATAACATTGCGGAGATAGGGCCATATATTTCTTATGGACGATAGAAGCGCGGCGTTGCCACGGCACACAAAAGCACGATTCACGGTTGTATAATTTGTATTTTAGTTTCCACAGACATCAATTAAATTAATGTTTTTTAACGTAATTGACCAAAAGTACCCATTCGAAAGAAGAGATGAAAAGTAGGGAAAATGATTATAATTAAATAAATAGTATTTACAAAAGATAATTTTATTTTATCTTATTTTAATTATAGTAACGACAGTTCATTTGTTTTTCGGTAAGAATACCATATACCATGAATCATAGAAATGAGTAGAAAATATTGCTTAGTTAAATCATGCACTTTGCCGGCTATTAAAGATTTAAAAGCAAATAAACGGACCGCTTGGAATGCATATATCTAATTACTAATTGCAACTTAAAATAATACGGTGTGCGTATGTTAGCGATTTTATGTTGTTCTCTGATACTACATAATGATAATAAGGCTTTGTGGTTTTTTAGTTGTTATTCTGACTTTACAGTTAAATGTTAACTGAAAATGGAAATTCAAAAATTAAGCCAAGGGAATATCTTGGACATCCGTGCAAAACAAATTGTTTTAAATGTATTTAATTATCATCTAAACTTAGAAGTGGTGAAAGTGTTATAAGTTTAACCGATAAAATAAGTGCTATGACAGGAGTAAGTTTTAGTACTATTTTTAAAATACGCAAAGAAGCTGCGGAAGGAGGACTAATACCTATAAAAAAAACAAGGAGAACGTACCAAAAGTAGAGTGAACAACAGAAAGTTTACTTACGATACAGTAGTTCATACACGGCTACGTGCCATCGTGCATAGTTTTTTCTTTAAAAATTTACCGCCGACATTGAACAAAGTTATTGCATTGCATTTAAAAAAATTTTATGTTTTGGTACATGGACTCGGTTCAGCTTATTAGATGTAGGAAACTCTGAGTATGGCAGAAGAACGAGCGGTCAATTTTATGTAAGAAATGACCACTATATTGACTCTTGGGCGCAAATTGACGCCAATATAGCCGAATAACGAAATTTGAAAAAAAATTCAAGGGTTACCCCCTTTGATGATTTTTTCCAAATTTTTATTGAAAAAAATTTTTTATGTTTTGGTACATGCACTAGGTCCAGCTTATTACAAAAAATTTGCAGGAATAGAGAAAAAATCGAATTAAAAATTCTCCAGTTTTTCAGCAAATACAGACCTCCAAATGAAAATTTTTCTCACGAACCGTTAGATGTAGGAAAATTCTGGGTATGGCAGAAGAACGAGCGGTCAATTTTATGTAAGATTATGTAATGTCCATTATATTGACTCTTGGGCGAAAATAACGGTTCGTGAGAAAAAATTTCATTTGGGGGTCTGTATTTGCTGAAAATCTGGAGAATTTTTAATTCGATTTTTTCTCTATTCCCGCAAATTGGGGTTAGCGGATCAGACTAAGACACATTTTTGTAATAAGCTGGACCGAGTGCATGTACCAAAACATAAAAAAAAATTTTTAATAAAAATTTGGAACAAATCATCAAAGGGGGTATAGTCGCCTCGTATTTCGGTGAGACTGTGTAAGAATATATTTATCTGTAATAAAAGCAGGCAATAAAAATTAAAATAAAAGTACTCTACCAGGAGTAGTTATTAACTGCAAAATTATCAATGACTGAGATGTATTATAATACAAAGTTTTAATATTTACATTCAGATGTGCCTATTATTACGTTAGAAAAGATGTACAGTCGCCCAGATAAAGTTATCATCGATGCATTCTTTGCCTAAGATAACAATATTTGCCTGAGCGACCGAAACTATAAGGTAGTTTATCCAAATAAATTTCGTTTTGACCGTCCAGTGGTTTACACTTGGGTAGGTAGGTATAATATTTTACTTTATTTTAAACTTTATTTTTAAACGAAATATTGTTTATTTGGATGAAACCTGGTATATTATGGAAACACGGTGAAAAAAAGTTGGACGAATAATAACAAGAAGTGTTCTAATTCAGTACCGCCCAATAAAGGACAGAATTATAATTTTACACTACGGTGTAGAAAATGGATACATCGACGATGTATTATTATCTGCAAAAAAAAATGAAAGACGTGAATCTAGATTATCATGAGGATATGGAGGGTTCAAGTATAAAAAAAAGTTCAACTCAGGAACCATATATGTAAACGTTCAATGTTTTTTTGAAAAAAAAAACAGAAGTTAGT